TCATCAGAGACACACTCGGATGCAATGCCCCTGAATCGGCCATCGCACTCTGCTGTTGTGCGGAATAAAAACAGCTTCAGCTGAAAATTATCTATGTATGACACTTGGTAACAACCTCTACTTAGGATTTTCACGAACAGCCTCAAGCAGCGCCCAGACCGTCGCGACTCGCCCGCGCTTCGCGATGACGGATAGCCGTTTCATTCAAGGTTCCGATCCGACTCTCAAGTTTCAGTGCTAGAGGGAGCGTGGCCACAATGAGCGCGCCGCTGCCAATCTTTCATGCCCTCGCTGCTAGCACTCAAGTGCGTCTTGCCGACTTTTGCTCCATGTTCCATCTTTGATACATTTGTTACGATATATTCTCTTCTTCGACAAAGTTACATAGATGAGCAGTGTTCGTAACTCGTCGCAATCATACAAGCCTGGTTGGATGTGGACAATACGACAGGACAGGATATTGCAGAACTCTGTCTCGTAAGTACTTGAGAGAACATCTCCCATGCCGTACTGAAGAAAAGCAAGTCAGGATTCAGCCTTGCACTACAGTTGTTGCTGCGCGCGCGTCGAGTCGCGAACCTCGACGGTTTCGCGAATAGTTTGCCCAGCGAGGTTCACAATGACGCGGGTTTGCATGTTCAATTCCCCGGCGCAAAAATTAGCTTCTCGAGAGCTCTTTCCTCTTCTAGGTTGGGACAGGTCAGAATCACTGGGACGGCAAAACACAATTGAAGCGTACCGTATCGGAAGATACCCTTGATAGACCGCTGCATGGAGGGTGCAGGCGCTTGTACCAGGTCCGTGGACGGCGGCTTCGCCGTGCCTTGGACCGCTGGATGCTTATTCTTCAGCGTGTTGGTGCGCGTAATATGTGCAAGCACATCCGAATCCGGCTGAGCCATGACAGCACTCCGGCCAGAGACGGTTTTTTCGTCTGGCGGTGCGGGCAAAGAGGAAGCGTTCCGTACGCCCGATTCTTTTATCTGATCGCGCAGTCCAATCAGTTTCCTCCCTCCAAAGCAAAGGGTGAGGTGTGCGTACCGGTGCAATGTACGCTGGAGGAGGGGCCATGATCGTCTTGACCTGGCCATCGTCTATCGACTCGCCGAAGCTCTTGATCTCTGCCGCCTCCTTAATCTGCATCGCATGAATCCAAATCAGCTTTGAGTTAGCTAACGAATGAGTGCGCACCGAGAGAACGACCTTCTCGCGTTGCGCAGCGCGGGCTTTGTACCCGAGATACCCCGCAGCGATACACGTACATATGAGGACGGCGAATGCGAGATAATACGCCCAGAATGGGATGTTTTGGGGGATACGCCCGTTGTCCAATGGACTTGACGACGGAGTGGAACCAGGGCTGGCGAGATCGCTTGGGGTCAGGTTGTCCACGACTCGGGAGATAAGGAGATGGGTAGTGGGTGCCATATTGAGGTGGGTGGTGTGTTGAGCGAAGAAACGGTGAAGAGTTGAGGCTGCGAAAGCGGCTATTTATGCTGCGAAGTAAAAGGGGCTGAGACATTTTTTTTTTGCTTCCACGGGGAGGTCTCAAAACGGGAGTATAGGAGCGCGGGGAGGTCTGGGCCGTTCCAGAATACCGTCTAGACTGCAGGAAGATTCAGATTGCCACAGGGGAATAGAGGTTAAATGAGACCTACGGAGAGAGGCCGTTATCTCCAGTGCGTTTAACTGCGTTATGGGCCAGTTCTGAGTTGAATGGTCATTTGTCTGGCCCTAGTGATTTCTCTATGGAGACAACACGATGAGCTACTTCTTGGGAGGAAGGGCTAACAAGACATTGAATGGGCCGCGTCGGCTGTAGCCACTAGGCTGCAACGCATTTCCACGAACATCCCCACCAGCCCTTGTAAGAAATCCGAGTCTTCGTCGACGGGAACATCAGTGAATCCTCTCGGAGGAATATGACCCCGAATTGCAGTCCCAACTCACGTTCCAATATCCTGTCCATGAGAGAGGCGGATGAGCCGATGCGCAGCCGCTGTGATGGATTGATAGGAAGCGACCTTGCCGGCGCCGCGCAGATCTGGACCTATTATGGATAGCTGCCTACGAGACCTGCATCGGTTCAGATTCTGACGAGTACCCAGGCCCAATCACCAAGGGCTTAGTAGTGTAGTGGTTATCACTCGAGATTCTGACTCGGAGTTTCTCGTAACCACGGTTCGAGTCCGTGCTAGGCCTTTCTTTTTGGGTTCTATTATATCGTCTCATCTCAGGAGGAGGATCCAGACCTCCATCGCCGAATCTATCAGAGTACTTATTATCTCTGATCTGAGGTCCATAGGGCGAAATAACTTTATCGGACGAGACAGCCAGCTGCTGAGCGTGACCATAACCCGTGTCTTATCCCGCTCATCGAACTGCGGGCCACGGAATCTTGACGAGTAGTCTAAGAGTCTACGTTGAGAAACGAGCGTGCGCCAGTGGCAAGGCCAGTGGAACACTATCCTCAGCCTGCCTCTGACCAGAATCCGGTCAGTGGCAGTGCGTTTGACATTTTTCCCAAAATGGAAATGATTTTTGGAACTTGAACAGACAGGCCGTCCCGAATTCGAACAGGAGGACCGCAAAGGCGACCCTACCCCTTGCCAGGGCTCGGGGAGAACACTTGCCTCACCCCCTCCCCTCGCCAACGCTCGGGGAGGGCCCCGGCGGCTGCAGAGTAGAACAAACGACAGGACACTCACAAAAAGTCCTAGTACACCGAGTATACCACCACCGATCCCATATAGTGAGAAGAACCGAGTCGGCAAGACCTTGGCAAGACCTGAGTTGAAGACTGGCAATTGATGAACACACAGCATCAGGAAAAACTGAAATGCTATGAAGCGCAAGTGACGGCTATATCGGTCTCTCATGGTCTATCGTCGTCTTTGACTCCTCTGGGCCAGGTATATTAGTCTATCGTGGTCTATGGTCTGCTATATCTGTGCATTAGATCTATGAGGGACTATTTCGGTCTATTCAGTTAGGCATGGAAGCTTACAGTACATAATAGTACTTCTGCTTGTTACTTCAAACTCTACCCATTCCGAATCATTGAATGCTACTGGGAGATGCAGTCCGGCACGGCAAGTTCCAGCATAAAATAACCACAGTTTTACAGATGACACAGACTGTGACGAGAAATCCGAAGCAGTCAAGGACAGGCTGCCGTGGCGTTGCGGACGAGTCTGAAGAGGTCTGGGACGAGTCGCGGAGAAGAGAAAGCGGTTGTCACCGTAACGGCATGTCGCAAATGACAGTGCGGAAAAAGTTGATCCATCAGCACAGGTCCGTGCGCATCTCGTGATCATTTGATCAAGTTGACTGCTCGACGTCGCTTCCTTCTTGACCACGATCTCTCTTCCCCGTCTTGTTCCTTCTTTACCTTCTTCCTCGGCCCTTTCTTTGCCTCAAGTATCCTCATTGTGCATTCAAGTCACCAAACTGCGACGCCTCCAAGCCAAGCGCATCAAGAAGCCCACAACTACTGTTTGGCGCAGCCTCGGGAAGGCTCTGGTCGTATCGGGGTCGTGCCTCCTCTCAAGATCCAAGTCGGTGAAAACCTCAAGCTGCTACCTCGAGTCCCAAGCCTTCAAGCCCTCAAGCTTCAAACTGCCGCAAGTCGTCAAGCTTCAAGCTGCCGCAAGTCTTCTCATCAAGGTGCCTGTTCTCAAGCGCCGACTCAATCAAATACCTCTGTCGTCCGTCGCGCACTCTTGCTACTTCCAACTTCAAGCCAGTCTGGGTCTCGAGAATCAGAGTCTCCCTGGCCGTGCTCTCCTAGATCTGACTCGGTGGACTTCAGAAGTGAGCCTGTTGTCGTAGTACATGTACCGTAGTCTTTTCAAATATGATTTGTTTCATGTTTCTTCTGGTTGATACTTGAAATATGTGAACTATAATGAACTATCCTGGCTATGTTGACTACGGGGCCTATGTAGCTATGGTAGTGCAAGTGGCGACTACGGTGGTCTATGTGGACAAAACCGCCCCTCCCACGTGTACCCCATAGACAGCTGTTTGCTTTGAGCACACCGTCGAAAGTAAAAATTCAGCCCGGCTGAACATGTTGCCGAAAAAGTTGGTTTCGGGTGCAAAATAAATGGGGCTGAAAATGTAGTTGAAAACAATCATTTTGGCAAAGGTGAATGAGTTATCGAAATCATGTAATTCGGCACCATTTTTTGCCATGCCGAATGTAATAGTTTAGGCCGCAATGTTTTCATGTCCAAAAGTGTGGCCTAAAACTATGAAGTCGGCAGCAGTTTCAGCCCGACCGAAAGTAACAATCTCGGCGTTGCCGAAACTGGAGCTGAAAAGGTCAGTTTCAGCTGCACTTTCAGCTGCGTCGAAACAATAAGATTCGGCAACGCCGAAACGGCAGGCCAAAACAATAGTTTCGGCGACCGTTTAGGCGCAACCGGAATAATGGCCGAATCTTATTGTTTCGGCCTTTGCCGAAAGCGAAGCCGAAAGTGTTGTTTTCAGCTCGAGCTGAAAGTGATCTGCAGATGAGCGGCCGCCTATCCGCAGCTGAGCGGCCGCGTGATCTGCAGATGAGCGGCCGTTCAACCGTTCACCCCGATTTTTTTTGATGGTTTGATTACAGTAACTATGTTACTATGTACGGAGTACAACAGCACGTACAAAGGAGAGTCCACTAAAGTAAGAGACCGACAAAGGCAAGCTTCTCGGTTAATTTTTTCGCCATACTGTAGCGTATTTTCTTACCTGATCCATTAATCCTTCTGTTATCAAGTCTCATCGAAAGGTAAGTACGACACCTGAAAGCTACAACCAATCTGAACTGAAAGGTGGTAAGTCGAATGAATCCTGCCTGAGATTGACTTGTCAAAACGCACCGACAATAAGATAGTTCTATTCGAACTTGAGGAGCATCCCGATGGAAGTTACCCAATTTTCCGTGCTTGCATCTGCAAATGATCAAGTGCGAGCGGGCCTAATCCGAGGTAATTTCAATACTCACGAATTCTCCCGCCACTACAAAGTCCACGCACTGGCCCGGCCTGCACTACTGTCAGAACCGCGTCCACTTCTTGCATACCTCCACTTACAATTACGGGAGCTACAGCGCCAGCTATTTTATAATCCAACTATAACTATACATTCAGATCGCTGAGCATTATTCTGGAATGAATGTAAGAAAATAGAAAACTCGGAAAACGAGACGCGTTACCTTTCAATCGGCTCCCCAAGCGCACCGAGCCAGAACTCGACAATCCTCAGCACCCCATCGATCCCACCCACCGCTTCGTAGGCAAAGAACTCGCGATGGCGCACGCCGCATCCAGCGCAAGTGCGAAGGTCAAGCGGCAGACCGGCACCCAGCGCGTGGAACGTAAGGTGGACGAGACGTTCTAGTTTCGTTAGCAGACGACCGGATAGTAAGAAGGTCCGCTCACCAAGTAATTTCGGTCGCTTGCATTTCCACTTCACCAACCACGAAAACTCCACCGGGTCGCAATACTCGTTATAGTCGGCTTGGCGCACGCTCGTGTCTTGGGCGATGCCCACTTTGATGTCCAGTAGCGTCTCCCCCTCCTCATCGCGCAGTCTACAGACCGAATACACTTCCCCGGGCTGATCATCGTACACCGCTTCGCCCCGGTCAATCGTATGCAGATAAGCAGCGATTTGGTTGTTCTTGTCGCTGATACGGACACTGAAATACTTGAGACGCAGCCCACCCAGACAGATAAGTCGACGTACAGTGCATTTCTGCGCTTGATTCGGCTCGGCTCCCTCGACGAAGTGGGCGTTCGCATGGGACGACGGTCGCGTTTTGGACGAAGCGAGCGGAATTCTTCGGTGAGACGTCCCATCATGCTGACGAACGAGCTCAGGGTGTATGAAAGAAGAAACTTTGCTTCTCAGCTTACAATGTGCCCGGATGCGAGACGGTGGTGATAGACTGTGAGAGCAGCGGGAAATCACGCGTCGACGGCGTCAGGGCCCTCTAGCTCATCTTCCCTGACGACTTGACACAGCCCCCAGCGGCGCCAGCGTCCTCTCTGTTGCTGTACTTGTGGTACTGGAATCTCATATTGGTGTTTGTAGCACAATAAGTCAATAATGGTTTTATGAATGCAATTTGAGTATGCTGACCGGCCCGCTCATCGACGATGGCGGGTACGGGGACAATATGAGTCTCTTCGGCGGGCTGTCCACATACTCATACGAGGTCCCCGCCGACCCGGTACCCAAACTCCCGTCGACGGCCCGGCTCTACACCATCTCTCCTTCCACGCCCGCGCTCGACTCGATCGATCCCTCGACCACCGTCTTCCCATCCAAACCCAAAAGCACTGTGCTCCCATCCCCCCGCTGATGCCCCCACGACACGGCGGCGCGCGGCGGTCACGGGCACGCGCAAGAACCTCAAGCCGGAGGCACTCATCCCGCTCGAGGCGCCAACGCAGAAGCGCACGTACATTACGCCCAGCGCGACGTCGCGCAAGGCCGTCCCCGTGGTCTTCCAGAAGAAGCGCCAGCACAGCGCTGCGTTCGGGGGCGACGACGACGACATGGAGGAGCTCGGGCAGTTGAGCCCGACGGCGAGCGAGGCGGAGACGATCGAGTATAAGCGGCGGCAGAACACGCTTGCGGCGAGGAAGAGCCGGAAGAGGAAGCTCGAGCACCAGCGCGAGCTGGAGGAGCAGGTGGAGCATCTGCAGGGCGAGGTGCAGCGCTGGAAGACGCGCGCGCTGACGCTGCAGGATACCATCATAAAGAGTGGGGTACCATTCACGCCTTGGGAGGATTGACTCTCGGCGACGTCGCGCCCACCCGTCCTTTCATTGAACTCCGACTCGTCATTCCTGCTCGTGGTCGTGTCTCGTTCGCACGTCCATCGAATGAGAGGTTCGATGAATCTTCCCTCCCCCGCGCATACGAAGATACAGACGAGCGCCCGGCTTTTGCTCTCCCATAACGGAGTTCAGTGGGTCGGCGGCTAAATAGCGTCTCGTGTTCCGAGCTGGAAGTATCAGCCCTGGCAGTTCCTCAAGGGTGATGGCGGCAGTATGGTGTGCGGCAGCGGGCAATGCAACAGGACTTGAGTCGATAAAGAAAAGGTCCTCGTGTGGGATAGGACAGTGTCTCTCGTATCTTCGCGGCGGGATCGTTTCTCTTGGGCTGGCGCGTGCGACCGACGGGTGACGCTTTCTATCATCTGC